ATTGTCAAATCCAACTATTCTTTGAGTATGAATTGATTTATGTACAGTAACTAAAACACCTCCAAATAAATTTGTACCATTGATAGAGAAGACATTATAATTGAACAAGTGTTTCGTAAATTTTTTAATCGATTCTTCGTCGTGATGTGTTCCGTTTATTGTAATAATCGGTGGTGAAGTACAATCAATGAGGTTGAAGATCTCTACCTCGTATCGATTTAAACTGGAAATTTGTGCAATACAATCATAGTCCAACTCCAAAAACGGTGGATCAATCATCTCGACCTTATTTTTTACCATATCATCTTCTAGCTTAGTAATCCACTCAAAAGTTAGTGGCCTGAGTATAATTTTTATTTCGCAACAAACTGTATGAAATATTCATATTCTCCTCTTCAACATACTCTTGCGCAACATTCTGATTGTTTAAAATCTACATTTCTTGATATATCTTTTGATTTTATTACTATTGAGAAGAAAATAATGATTGGTGATAGTGAACGTTGTAGTATTCCATTATCAATTACAATGGATGAAGATGAAGATGTGTGTGGCTTGAGTATAATTGTATGTATACTTTTGATTCGTATGAGTTTTGCTTATGAATTTTTAATAATATATTTATTCGCTCGTGTAATTTAGTACATGAACTATTATAATAAGGGTGTGGGTGGGTGTGGGTGTGAATGAGGAAGAGATACCCACGCCCAGACCCTCAAATAAATGCATGCACGTACAGTTTCAAAAAAAGAAGTACTTTTGTCACCTGAATCTTGAATTCATACGAAATTAGTGTAGGGATAAATGGAAACAAATAATCAAATTGATGATGAATTTGGTTTAGATTATAGTCACGTACTTGTTGGAATAGTAAATCCATATTATTTAATCTAGAAAGGAGGAGATGATTTAACATGAGCTAAAATATATAATGAATTTAACGATTAAAGGAGAAAAAACAAATAGAAATCAGTTAGTCATAAAATCTGTTACTAAGATCATCTTTATTTTCGTTTTAAATAATAAGTGACGCTCGTCTAAGGACTCGCTTAGCTCTTTCTCATACAAACGGTGTTCTACTATGCTACGGGACCTTTTGCTTATATAACTTTCAAAAACTAACATCAGATTCGAAGTCCCTGCATCGAAATACCTCTAGAAATGTCTTTTCTGAAAAATTGGTCTTCGATGTTTTTTTGACCCTGCGGACAAACAACCAAGCAAATAAACAATTTATGTTTACTGGACTCTTCTGTACGAGAAAGAGAATTATAATAAACATCATTAGTTCTATGACGTAATTTGAAATATTTCATAAGTAAATCATAAGTTAAATATGCTCGATGTTATTTCAAAGGATCAGAAATATTTGAAAGAAAGACGTTTTTTAATGAAATAATATATCAAAAAATAATTGAAGATTTATTTAAATTAAAGAAATATTTAATATACAATAAGATAATATTTAGAGTTTTTTCATTGGTGTTACTTTTGTTAATGTTGAACAATCATTTATTTGTGATTGAATTTGTTGATTTGATAAATAAATTGTTGATGGAAGACAAACTGGTTGATAACTAATAACTGGATAATAACCAATAATAACTGGTTGAACAGGATGAGAACGATTTTCTTCAACCATAACTGTTTCATCTTCACATTTTTTTCTTGAATTTTCTTCACGAATTGAATATTAAGTTGATGAATGATTTGTTCGTGTTGACTAAACACTTGATAAAAAATAAATAAATTCTGTTAAGAATACAAAGAAATATATTTATTAATAAAATACTTGATGTTTTCGAGTTTTTTGTAATTTTGGTTGTTCTAATGAATGAAAAGTAAAACTAAAATTATCATTTGATGTTACTTGACTAATTGAACATTCATTAAATGTAAAATCATCACATTCAGATATTCGTAAATGTTCTAATTCTCGTGCATTTTTTATAAGAGGTTTTTGTTCTTTCGTATCTTCAAGAATAGATGAATAAAATGTATCACTTAATGATTGAAGACGTTGACCAAATGATGATAAACGTTTTTCATTTTCTTTATTTATTGAACGATGAGAAGACATTTATGTTATTAATTTAAATCATTAAATTATTTAATATTCAAATTTGAAGTTTTTGTTTTATGTTGAGTCAATAACACATACTAAAAGATTTACTGAATTAAATCATTATAGACACGAACGATGTAACACGTAAATGTCATGTTTGATTTTTAACTATAAACTATTGAGTCAGAATCAAAAGTTAACAGTATTTATAGTACGAAATGTTCTAGAAATTGAATATGTATATATCCACAATAAAATATTGTTCGTTTCACATCAAAAACGCTATTAGTCTGTGAATAAGGAGAAGCATCTAATAGTTTATATACAGCCATCAACTTATTTATAATCGTTTTTGTTTAAACAAATTAATATTAATATATTTGTAGAACTACTCATTTTTAATTACCTAGCTCGTAAAGCAATACGATGGTACTATAAATTTTTGCTGTTATATGTATCATCTTACACTAGAAAAATTCTTCTAATTATATTTGAATTTGGATTAGAGAAATAAAAACCAAATATTTGTGACATCTACGTATGTGTGTGTGTATTTATTTACCTAGATAATTTTGATTCGTAAAAATATTCAACAAATAATTGTAAAATTTATGAATAATAAAAAGTAAAGAAAATGAAACGATCATTCGAAGAAGAAGAAAAAGATGATTTAGCTGAACGAATAGCTTCATCTTGTTATAATCAATTTAATCTCTTATCATCTCGTGGAAAACCATCATCAAATGAATGGACACATTTAGCAGGTTTTGTTAGTGTTAAAGATGATGATAATATTCAAGTACTTTCAATTGGTACTGGTACAAAATGTTTAGGTGGTGACAAAGATGAACGTGGTACACAAGGTTGTTTATTACATGATAGTCATGCAGAAGTTATTGCACGAAGAGCATTAATGAGATTCTTGTATGAATAAATTCTCAATGAAAATAATTCAATATTAATTAAACAAGAAAAAAACAAATTTTATTAAAATAAATCCATTCGTCTATATTTATTTGTTTCATATCTACCTTGTGGATCAGCTGCATATGTATCTGATCCAATAAAACGACCAAAATTTG